TGTAGAATAAACAGGTGAGATTAAAGCAGAGGCCAGACTGGGTAAAAGGATATAAAGGCATGTAAAGTAAAGTCCTTTAAATGGGATTAGGAATGAAAAACAAAACCTGTGCAGTCCATTAGAGACAATCTATGTGTTCCATTGTTCTATTTAATAACAACAGCTCAAACATTAGCATGATTGCTTTTTATTCAAAAGATATGCAGAGGAGCCGCCTGAAGCAGAAACCTGGAAACGCAGTGTGTGTGTGTGTGTATGTGTGTGTGTGTGTGTGTGTGTGTGTGTGTGTGTGTGTGTGTGTGTGTGTGTGTGTGTGTGTGTGTGTGTGTGTGTGTGTGTGTGTGTGTGTGTGGGGGGGGTTGTACTGGACCTAATTACTTCAAAATGAGGTAATTGTTGCAGCGTTGACCTTCTATTAGCATAATGATGGTATGCAAACAGACTTCACAAAGCCATATCCTTCAGAATAATAATTATGCTTATGAAAAAACAAAAAAGGGTCTTCTGGGAACAGCACTTATGCAGAAGGGAAATATGTTGACATGGCATGGGGGGAAATATTTACAAAGATGGCAATAAAATAATGATCCGGAGAGTGTGACGTACCGGGTTTTTCGGGGCAGAAAGGAGCGGGAAAATCGATTTCAGGTGATTTTGGTTCCCAGGGGACACATGTGCTTTTTTTGACCCATTCACAGCGAAGACCCGGCCCAGCGGAGGCACACGAAGCTGGGGTAGAATAGGCCAGGCAGGAGGGGGGGGTGAACGCCAGCACGTCGTTCAAAAGGACGCCGGAAAAACCTCCGAAGATGTACATGGAGCTGGAGAAGAAACAGAGAGGATTATCAGAAGGGAAACAGAAGCTTGTACAAAGGGGAGAGCCTTAAAAAGTCATTTTAAAAGGAGTGTTTTCTCTTTCCTGTAGTGTGTTCTATAGGTTTTAGTGCATGTAAATGGTCTGCAAAGGATAAAATCCCTGTGTTTCTCTTGTATTTCTACTAATATCAACCTGAAAATGAGCACAATATGTGGCAACACCTTAGTGATATATAAAATGTTTGAAAGACCTTCATCACGATGTATCCTGATATACTGCTGAACTATAAAATAATGGTTTGAACCTTTAACACCTATGACACACAAGAAAGTCAACTTTGAGCACAAAATGTCAGCTTTCAACTTCAAACGACCAACATGTAACTGAATCAAAGTTCAGATTTATCTTTGAAAGCTTCTCCTGCTGTCTTCATTTTTTCTTCATCCGTCCTTATGTCTGCGGGCATTTCCTCCTGTGTGTTTCTTTTTAAGAGTAGGACCCATTTGTGTGTATATCAGTATGTAGTGTCTCTACTTTAAAGAGTCCTCTCCTGCTGATGTTCAGGTGTATATCAGTATGTAGTGTCTCTACTTTAAAGAGTCCTCTCCTGCTGATGTTCAGGTGTATATCAGTATGTAGTTGTCTCTACTTTAAAGAGTCCTCTCCTGCTGATGTTCAGGTGTATATCAGTATGTAGTGTCTCTACTTTAAAGAGTCCTCTCCTGCTGATGTTCAGGTGTATATCAGTATGTAGTGTCTCTACTTTAAGAGTCCTCTCCTGCTGATGTTCAGTGTATATCAGTAGTGTCTCTACTTTAAAGATGTCCTCTCCTGCTGATGTTCAGGTGTATATCAGTATGTAGTATCTCTACTTTAAAGAGTCCTCTCCTGCTGATGTTCAGGTGTATATCAGTATGTAGTGTCTCTACTTTAAAGAGTCCTCTCCTGCTGATGTTCAGGTGTATATCAGTATGTAGTGTCTCTACTTTAAAGAGTCCCTCTCCTGCTGATGTTCAGGTGTATATCAGTATGTTAGTGTCTTCCTACTTTAAAGAGTCCTCTCCTGCTGATTGTTCAGGTGTATATCAGTATGTAGTGTCTTACTTTAAGAGTCCTCTCCTGCTGTATGTTCAGGTGTATATCAGTATGTAGTGTCTCTACTTTAAAGAGTCCTCTCCTGCTGATGTTCAGGTACATCAGTATGTAGTGTCTCTACTTTAAAGAGTCCTCTCCTGCTGATGTTCAGGTACATCAGTATGTAGTGTCTCTACTTTAAAGAGTCCTCTCCTGCTGATGTTCAGGTACATCAGTATGTAGTGTCTCTACTTTAAAGAGTCCTTTAAACGCTGATTTTTACTTGACGATACAGCAATGCAAGAAACTTTTCTGTGTGGAAGAAGTGTGAAAAATACAGTTTTGAAAATAGCAAAAGTATATAAGAGTTTGCGAGGCGTTAGGAGAGGTGAGTGTACATCGTTTCTATACATATGAAGTGTGAAGAAAGTCAGGAGGGAGAGCCAGGAAAGACATCCACATTTAGATGAGAGGTGACAGAGTTTCTACTCAGAGCTTCAGAGTGTAAACTGAAACTAAATATAACAACGAGATCAATCCGTAAACAATCGACACAACAAAACCTCAGAGAAGAAAGTCAGCGAGACGCAGTGCTGCCAAAACTTAGAG